GTGTGTGTGTGTGTGTGTGTGTGTGTGTGTGTGTGTGTGTGTGTGTGTGTGTGTGTGTGTGTGTGCATTCTTAGCTCATAAAATACGAGGAATAATCAGGATTATTACAGTTTTACTTTCAGAATCAACGGTGCTGGTTTTATTGAATTTTTTTATCCTCAAAGCAACTCTTGCTCCTCCTTCCAGAGCACAAAGGATCTCATGTTTTCATCTTTCTGTTAGTAAAATCTCAACATAAAGCAGGTTTATGGTCTCACCTGTTGTTGTTGCAGATGTTCTGGCAGCTCATACAATCAGAACTGTCCGTTTGAGGCAGAGCCGTGTACATCCCTCCACCCTGAACCAACAAGATTTCAGTTTTCTGTGAGTTTATGTCGACTTTTTAAACTTTTAAAACTCCTCCGAAGCTTCCAGACTCACGTTCAGGTGGTGGTGGGGGTGAGGGTGGGGGTGCTCGCAGTCGTGGGCGCCGCGGGGCAGAGCGCCGTCGTGGCCGGGCGGGAACACGCCGCCCGAGCTGTTGAGCAGTGCCAAGCCGTTGGGGAGCTTGTGGTGGAGGTGGTGGCACCCCTGAGGTAACATCTGGCCCCCGTGGCCGTAGCCCCCGTGGATGCCCCCGTTGATGTGGCCGCCGCCGCCGCCGCCGCCGCCTGGCTGCAGCGTGGTGTACTCCAGAATGTGACCGTTCAGCTCCGCCGGCTGGTACAGGTAACCAGGAGGGTCGTACTCTGTGAGGTAGAGAACAGGAAACTGATCCAGGTCTGCCTCTAAACATCGTGACCCACCTTCAGAGGTGGTCCAGACCCATCTGTTCTACCCTACCTGGATCTTAATAAAATCTGTTATTTGATGGCATTTTATGAATAAGAGCAAGTTTCTTTCCTGTTTAACGTTTCGCGCTGATAGTTTTAGGACTCGCCACGGTCGCTCGAACACGTCAAGAGCTCCGTTACGTCGCATCAAAATCAACAAATGAAACACGAAGCTCCGTGGAAAAACTCCTAGGAGGCTCGCCAAAACAACTTCCTCCAAAAAAACTAAAAAATGCAAAACTTAATGTAAAGTTTAGGGCAGAACAGTGATTTTTACAAAACTGGAGAACTTTTTCTGTAAGTTTAATCAGCACACAGTCGACTGGAAGCATAAGAACAGGTTTTATTTATTAAAAACAAATAAATAAATATAGTTTAGAATAATCTTCATGATTGACTGGAATAAAAATAAGCTTAGATCTTATTAAAAAGGCAAGTGTGCACAAATCGTTTTATGTTTCTTTATGAAAGCATTTTTATTTTACAAGAGGATAACTTATAATGTGAAATAATTTGTTCTTTAAAAACAAAAGTGGGTAGATACTAGGGCTGCAACGATACAGAAAATTCACGATTCAGTTCAGCTCAATGTTTTAGTGTCACGGTTTGATATTATTTCAATACAAAAAAAGAGAAATTTCCATGCTCTTTTTAACTTGTAATTTATTTAAATGAATTATGAACATTTGTTTAACCTCAAAAGTCTAGTTTTTAAATTAAATATTGCTGAACAGCAAGTTTCTCAGTGGATCTGTGCTCCACAATGCAGCCTAGGTGGAGAAGTCGAACACAGATCCACTGATCCTTCAACACAGAGAATCTTCAGAAGACAAGCTAATAAAATAAATGTTAAAAATCTGCATTGTTCCATATATAGTGTGTATTGTTCCATACATAGTGTGTATTGTTCCATATATAGTGTGTATTGTTCCATACATAGTGTGTATTGTTCCATACATAGTGTGTATTGTTCCATACATAGTGTGTATTGTTCCATACATAGTGTGTATTGTTCCATACATAGTGTTTATTGTTCCATACATAGTGTGTATTGTTCCATACAAAGTGTGTATTGTTCCATACGTAGTGTTTATTATTCCATACATAGTGTGTATTGTTCCATACGTAGTGTGTATTGTTCCATACGTAGTGTGTATTGTTCCATACGTAGTGTGTATTGTTCCATACGTAGTGTGTATTGTTCCATACGTAGTGTTTATTGAACCTAAAGTTGTATTGAACGTTTTGATACGGGTACATGTATTGTTGCACCCCTAGTAGATGCTCTGAAATACTTTGCGACAGCATTTAATGTGTTGAAGTAAAAAAAACAAACATTTGTTGAAATATTTTTCAGTCACTTTAAAATTAATTTAATTTCATAAAATGTAAAATTTTGCATTTTTTAGGGTTAATAAACATGGTTAGCCTTTTAACAGTTGCCCCTGAAATTCCTTAAAAGCCTTTCGATTTTTTGTAAGGGAGTCGAGCTGGGGAAGTCGTCTGACACCGTAGTTTTCAAAATAAAAGCCCCACCGTTAGCATCTGGAAACATTTAAAGGCAAAAATCACACCGTTTTTTGCCCACCGGTGGAATAAAGACGGTTAACATGAAAATAGCAGAATTTTGGAAAAATAAAAGCTTTTTAGGAGGTAACGTGACTAAAAGAGGCCGACTAAGACGGAGGTTTTGTCAGGGCCTCGTCATTAATTTAAACTCTTTCTTATGATGTGGAAAACCTCCAGGAACCTTCAAACTTTAGGTGTTAGTAATGACATTAAACTGCTTAAATATATTACAGAAAACAGAGACCTTTGTCTCATTTTCAGCTTTCCTGTAAATCCAAAACAAAAAACAGAAATATTTCTGATCCAAACAGTCAAAGTTTTTTTTCTGAACAATGACCAAGACTTTTGCGAGCACCAGGGGATCAGTATACACTGTGGGAACCAACACGATGGGGGAAACGGCTGCCAAGAGGCTGAATATTAATAAAAACGAGACTTTTATTCTTCTGTTTATGACGGCACAGACTGTAACTCTTACTGTGCATGTTGTTCTGCTGGCGATTCCTCCACAAACACATGGCGATGAAGCTCAGCAGGATGAGCACCATCACCACCAGAACGCAGCCCACGATCAGGTACAGCAGGCCCCCGGGGGAGCCGGTGGACTCGGGAGGGTGGGGGCCCGGCGGGGTGACGGGGTGCTGGCTGGGCGACCCCGACGACTGACGAGCTGCGGCAGAACAGAAACGTTAAACACTGGAGAGTGAGAGAATTTCTGCTGAGTCACTCTTTTTTTTTTACTCACCTCTGGTCTCACAGATCATGACGTTGCTGTATTCACTCTCCCCTCCGCCGTTGTAGCACTGCATCTTGATGTCGTAGGAGGTCTCCGGTTGCAGGTGAGCGATCATGTGCCAGGTTTTTACACCTGAAAAACCACAGAAGAAGAAGACGGCGTTTAATTCTTCCAACCAATACTTTTCTGTTGAGTCAGTCTTTGCTCCGGGCTTCTACCAGACGGTTGTTTCACTCCAGTCGAGCTCCATATATGGCAGCTTCATGTTTGCTCTGGCTCGCCTCCAAGATTCCCACTCCACACACACACACACACACACACACACACACAC